ATTTTGTTGACTCCAACTGGAGTTTAACAGAGGGCATGGAGACGAGAGGGCAGGTTGAGGATGCGTTCGCTGAGTGAGCAGCCCTTGGGCTGCCCAGGGGCCCCGTGGCAGAGATGAGATTTTATTTTCACAAGGTCATTCTGAAACTACATTACTTACAGCCCCTTAGACAGGGTTCTAATCACTATACTCCAGGATGGCTCAGTATCTAACTCATTTTATATAATTCAGGGTGCAATTGTTACAGATTCTTGTTACTAAGAGATAACAGAATATAAATTACCTTACACACTTATTACTATTATTCAAATAATAACAATTGGCTTAGTGGAAGGAGTATTACAAGGAAATCAGGACACAGGTTCAAGTGGCAACACTGTCACTGCCAACTTCTGTGAACCTGCACAGAATTCTTGACCATTCAGAGCCACCTTGGCTCTCAGCCCCTTCCATTTCTGACAGTCTATTACTTTGAGGCTCTCTTTAAAATACTACATCACCTGGAAATAGTTCATGTTCCTAAAGTGAGAGTTCACACCCTCAGCACTTTCCTACTGGTCCCAGGAGCTAAACCTCATGCCTCTTGGCTCCTCAAGGCTAAAAGCACCTGCCACAAGGACGTAATCGCAAAGGGATAATCGGCAGAGGGAGTCGCTGATCCTAGCGCCCATCTCTTGATCTGATAGGAAGGAAGCTGACAGCGAGTTGGCCTGCATCTGTTGCCTCGCCATCCATAAACCATATTTAACATATAAGTGCTTTACAGGTATCTTTCATATCACCCCTAAGATTTGTTCTCTTTAGGAAAACTTGGGAGGCTTTACATTAAAATACAGAAAAGTCATCGCTCAAGCCAGTTTTTCTAAAACTTCACTGTTACGGCTGAAGTCTCTGGCACCCATTTCTATTAAGACTTTCCTTTCACATAGCAGCTCTTTCTGTAGTAGTGACAAAAGAAAGGAGAGATTCTACATTAAATGGGAGAATGGAGAGCTGTTCAATTTTTCCTCCTTTCTTTCCTGATATTAAGTCTCCTAGTATTAGAAGACCTAGGAGAACATTAAACTGGATCTGTAAAGTTTTCACCTCTCACTCTCTGCCTGAGTTTTTTTCAGCCCACTTGCTCCTTAAGGTAAACTCCGTTTCCACCCGCACAGACTTGCCTGCTTTCAAAGCCATACGATGGAGCCCGTGGGATTCAGGATTACCCCTTGGGTCTAAAGGACCATGGTGAATTTTTCTTCAGACCGTTTTGGTGTTCGCCAGCTTTAAATCTTAGTGTTGTGGCATCCGACCCACAATTCACTGAATTACAGGTGAAAAGAGGGGGTTGGGGTATGGGGAACACCAAGAGGACTTCTGATAGCTGGTGCATTCACGAACCGTTGATCATAAGTGATGCCAGGCAAAGATAACAGCAACACCTCACATCACCGTTACTGACCTTCTTGGCCAGCCACCAATCTTGTGCTATATTCACTTTGGCGGCCAAAATAATAGGCCAGCACCATTATAATTTGGCACAAATAATGACAGATAATGCTCACTTTACTATACAGGTGAAATTTAATAAAATAGCGTCAGATGTCAGGGGGGTTACGAGCAGAAGATGAAAACCAATCAGTGAGCAGCAAACCAAGGATAGTGACAAATTGGTGGAATGAAGAAAAAGGCGCCAATTTGCATTCAAGGTCAGTCCATGTTGCGGGGCTGTTGGCTGCCATCCAGTGAAGAGGATGACACATCAGGAGGAGCTCCTTAGAAGCGGGCTGGGGGCGGCAGGGGTGGCAGTTTTGTCATTTTGCAAGTCTGTGTGCCTCCTGGACAGATAATAGGAAGTATGAGAAAAGAATTAAAATTTGAATTTAAAGCATTTTTTTCTTCCCTGGGTAAGAGAATGTCATGGCACATGGAGTCAGTTCAAAAGAAGCCTGTGACGTTATCCGTCTCGTAAAAAGTAAAGCAAATTATTCCATCGAAGTGCAACTGAATCAAATTTGAACTTCCTGAAAATGTACAGTTGATAAACCAGGATTTAAGTTCAAGGGTGCATTCCATGCCTAATCTTCATTTTACAACTTTTGGAGATAAATTTTCCTCTGCACTGAAATCTTTCAGAGATAGCCCTTTTTGAAAAACAAATTGTTAGAAGTGTGCAACAAATTGGCCAGATGTCTCTGGAGCATAAACACTCTCTTAAAAGAAAGGTAAGAGCTTCTAATAACTACCTCATGCTTTCAAACCACCAGTTTTCTATCCAGGACTTTGAAACAGTAATGTTCAAAGTATTTTTCTTGTCATCGAAAGAGTTGATACAGTTTCTCCAAAGTGCTTCTCTTCTCACAGAATATAGTTTATGTTTGGGGAGAATTTGGCACAGCTTTAGTTACAGCTTCACTGATTTTCTTAGTAGACTCCAACAATAAGTCATTCCCCTCACCCATTTGTCCCTTAGTGTTTATTAGCAGGAATAGACATAAAATGTCAAACGAAAAAAATCCATTATTTATATTAATCTACTTTCTTCAAGACTTCACATCAAGATACCTAAATAATAGCCTTCTTCACAGCTTGCTCCCAAACTGGCAGCCATCCCTTAGGAAGTTTTTACAAACACCCCAAAGTTCATTATCAGCTCACTTACCCTTTCCAGCCCAAATGTATCACTGCAGGATAAGTGTATTTAATTCTTGCTTATCTAAAAAAATAATAATAATAATTGCTGGGCACAAAAATCATCAGCCTGTGACATGAAGCTAGTTTTGCTCCCTTCCAGAAACTGTTATTTTTTAAGTTGCAGACCTTAAAAAAATAGACAGCAGAAATCTGTTCAGTGGTATTTGTTACTGTGATTGTTGCTATCCTGCAAACAGCCTGACCAGCCTACAAACTCAGGTGTAGCACAAAAGCACACCTTCTCCCTTTCCCCCCAGAAGGAAGGCTCCAAGAAGCAAAATCTTTACAGCTTAATAGCCTGGTACATGGTAAGGCCATCATTCTGAGTCTTAATCACTATCCTATTCCAGACCCCAAATAAAAAAAATTTCCGCGGTTATTTTGCACATATCTCCGTAGTTACACACACACACACACGTTTCAGAAAGTATTGGCCAATGCCCATTTCACATGGTTCTTTTAGTCTAAAAATAACTTTAACTTTCATGTCTTACCAATACTGAGAAAAGGGAGGGCAAATGAAAGAAAACTAGTCTGGGAATCAGTGGGGAAACGTTTAAAAGGCCTGCTGGGTGTTCTCTTAGTGCTATCTTGGATCTCAGATTAAGTTATTACGCTTTCTGCGTTCTAGTCCTGGGTCACTTGTGCATGAGGACAAAGGGAACTTCGACTTGATATTTCTGTCATCCCTGCTGTGGGAAGAGTCCTTTTCCTGGTTTATAACATCAATCACTCTCGCAATAAATCTTGGTGGTGGATATGGTCATTTAAATCTCCACCTGCACAAACAACAGAAAATAAGAGTGCTCATAAATCTCTACACTGGTGATTAACAAATTTTGAATCCTAGGCAAAGATATTATGGTGGTGGTGGTGGGGGGGGTCTCGCTAATTCATTAATAAAGACTGATTTGCTGACAATCTGTTTAGTTTACAGCATAGGGGGAAAGCAAACAAGACCCTGCTAACAAAACAAAACGTTAGAGGTTAGTGAATTCCCAGCTGAGCCGAGGATTAGAGATATGATATCTTAATGCAGGAGAGGGGCGCAGACTCCCAGCCAAATGCTCAGACACGGCTCTTACAGGTTAGCCCCTCAACCTCAGCGCCTAACCCCGAGGAAATAAAACCTGGCAGAGAGCTAGTAAGAGAGATTCACGCATTCACTCTACCCAGTTTCATCTCTTCAGTTTCATTGCATCCCTTCGTTCCTGGCTCCCCTTGCTTTCTTGCCTGCTCCTCAGATTTTCTTATTCTCTGGTAAAGATGGTCCAGGCTGGGATGAGGTCAGGAAAAATTTGCCAAGGGGATAATGTTGTTTAGTGTTTTGGAATGTCAGCTTCACAGGAGGAGCCCTGGTAGCAGAGAAGATGTAAAGAGAAGGCAAAAGGAGCAGCACCGGGAGGGAGAAAACAAGAAGCCCCAGGCATGCTGGAGCTGAGAGCAACTAAGATTCTTAGGACAATATCAAAGACATTTCTAGAAAGAAATGTAGGGAAAAGTTTTCATTCCATTAAGAAAAGCTTATCACCTAACAAAATACTTTCGGCACACTCGTGGTAGTCCGCCCACTCCCGCACTCCCACTGCCTGTGAGGTTGTGCATGGTGGTGTGTCTGTGTCCACAGGGGAAGGCCTGTCTGTGTCCACACGGGAAGGTGTGTCTGTGTCCACACAGGAAGTTCCTTGATATCTTTCAAGCCACCAGGCGCAGGTGAATTTGTTGTCACTTTTTCTGACATCCCCCTAAAGAGCCTATGGAGCGCTTGTTCTCTTAATTTATCCCAGTTAAGGCTGGAAAGATATCTGGGTAAGACTGTAGTCTCACAGGCTGTTGGCAGGAGGTAGTTGATCTCTGCCTGGATTTTAATTGGCGTTTTCTTGGGGAGGGCGAAGAGGGGCGGGAAAGGAGGCAAGAGGGGTGTTTGAGAGACTGGTGGGTGAAAGGCCCGGGAAGAACAAAAGATCTGGTCGTTTTACTCAAGTTCGCTACGTACAACCAGCTGCGACCTCTCAGGAGGGAAAGCAGGCCCTAGGAGACGGGCGACGGGCGGTGAGCGCCGGAGAGGGGTGTCTGTCGTGCGCCCCGCGCCTCGTGGGCCCAGCCCCGAGTGGAAGGTGATGGTATCTACGCGTGGCGGTTGAGCTGATTTACATCACCAGTTGGAAACCACGGGCCTGTGAGTGAGAGTTTCCCTCCGGTCGAGCGAGGGGTCGAGGCGCGTCGCTGGGGCCCGGCAGGCCCCTCCCCTGGGCTGCAAGGATCCGCCTCTCAATCCCCCAGATAAATTCCTAGTGTCCACCGAATTCCTCAGCGCGCTCTCACTCCTCTGGGGCCGCGACTCCGGGGGTGGGGAGGCGGCGGCGGGCTCCTTCCCAAAGACGCCCTGGCCGTGCCTCCTGCGAAGGCGAAAGGCGTGTGAGACCCAACCGGGACCCCAGCTCCAACTCCCCGCTGGAAGGGGCTGCGCCACACTGCGGGGCAGGGGGCCCGCCGGAGTCCGGGTCTCTTCCTCCTCTCTCCCGCCCCGCTCTCCCTTCCATCCTCTCCCGCGAACATGTCCACCGGGTCCCTGAGCGACGTGGAGGACCTCCAAGAGGTGGAGATGCTGGACTGCGACGGGCTGAAAATGGACCCGAACAAGGAGTTCGCGACTTCCAACGAGAGCACCGAGGAGAGCTCCAACTGCGAGGCCGGGTCTCCCCAGAAGGGCCGCGGCGGCCTGGGCAAGAGGAGGAAGGCGCCGGCCAAGAAGAGCCCCCTGAGCGGGGTCAGCCAGGAGGGGAAGCAGGTCCAGCGCAACGCGGCCAACGCGCGCGAGCGCGCCCGCATGCGGGTGCTGAGCAAGGCCTTCTCCAGGCTCAAGACCACCCTGCCCTGGGTGCCCCCGGACACCAAGCTCTCCAAGCTGGACACGCTGCGACTGGCGTCCAGCTACATCGCCCACTTGAGGCAGATCCTGGCCAACGACAAATACGAGAACGGTTACATCCACCCGGTCAACCTGGTAAGTTGTCCTGGGCGGCTGCGGCGGTGCGGGGGGGCCCCCGCCCAG